CCCCAAAACCCCAAAACCCCACTGGCAAGAATATACATAATCCATTGAAATGAATATTGATAAAAATCTCCTTAAAATTTAACTAATTATATTTCAAATAAGTTTAATATAGCAATGGATCTCTAACAAAAAGTAAGTTCATTTAATTTGAATTTATTTCTATAATTTTAGGATAAGTTTGAGAAGGAATTTTATTTCACTAAACTTGAATTGACTAACAATGACTTTGTCTATGCTTTTGCAGAATTCGAAGATCACCCTGTTGGCATTAAATAAGATTTTAATGTTGGAAACCTAACAATTTTTAAAAGCAACCTTTCTCAAACTCCCATTTTCACAGCATAACGTATTAATAGTTTCTTTATTAAAATCTACAGTCTAATCAATGTCTTGTTTTAACAAAGAAATTGAATGGAATTAATCTTATTTCAAAAAGATTAGACTATGCTTTTATAGAAAACTTAAAGATGTTAAGTTTTCTTTCAAGGATCCACATTAATTGCATAGACCAGGGGAAATTGATTATATTTTGAATGATGAGTAGCCAAAGGTAATTTATAATCAATCACTTAATAGCATAGTATAGTTTAGGATTTACTTTAAGGTTCAGTAGCAAGCAGATGTCGTTGCTTTTGAGGTCAGCAATATAAAGTCTACTGTAGTACCTAATCCCATGCATTATTTCGCAGATAAAATGAGTGAATTTGTGAGAAGAAAAAATAGGGAGATTGATGATTTGAAAAAGGAAAGAGATACTGAAAGGTAAACAAAACTAGATTGTATGAAAGAAATAAATAAACTTATTAAATAATCTGAGGAAAAAGAATAAGTAGTCATGCAAAAATTTTGTCTCATCCTAAATGAAAAGAAATTAAAAATAGCAGAGCTTAAAGAATTATTAAAAGCAATTTAAGAGGATGAAATAAATTAGAAAAATCGACTTTAAAATAAGGAGCCACCTTAAATAGAAATGAGAGACATTTATGATAATGATGAATACGTTGATTAATTGAAAAATGGATTAAATTATAATAATTAGAATAAGCCTAGTCCTAATGGTAGATAGGGGTATTAAAAATCATAATACTAGGAAAGATCAAAAGAATAGATAAACTAGGATGTCAGATAAAATACTCTCTAATATTTGTAATCATAGAGCTAAATGACTCAGAGCTAGAGATAATAATAGATTAATAGTCTTATGGGTACAACTCTATAACTTGATACTTAGCATTTAAGAGCTCTTGGTCATAGCAGTGAATCTATAGAATCAGATTTTGATAAGCCAGATTCTAGGCTAAAATCATAGTAGTAAAAAAATAAAGATAGAGAATTACTAGAGAAGTAGAACTCATTGACTGATTTATTTTTCAATTGATTTTTTTACTGAGGAATGAAAAAATTTTAAGCATGGGGTTTTGGGGTTTTGGGG